CTCTTGTTCTCGTTTGACCGGGGCACAAGAGTTGAGAAAACTCTCATGCAAACTCTCCGCGCTTCTCAACTCTCGTCAACTTTCATGCAACTCTTGTTCTCGTTTGACCGGGGCACGAGAGTCGAGAAGACTCTCATACAAACTCTCGTTTCTCAATTCTTATCAACTCTCATGCGACTCTTGTTCTCGTTTGACCGGGGCATGAGAGTCGAGAAGACACTCATGCAAACTCTCGCTTGACAACTCTCTTATGTGTAGACCATTTTTTGTTCAGGTGGCAGATTTCATGGGATACGATTCACAGTTCAACCAGACGATATTATAGCCCCACCTGGTTCAACTGTCGAACTAAAATGTAATGCACGGTACATACCGGAAAAACTTAACTTTGGATGGATTCTTAACGATTCTGAACTGGTTCTGTCAAATGTGGTTCCACGAAAAACATTTGTGTATGATCTTTCTCCAAGTAATGGCAATTTGAGAATTGATAATATCAGTGGCGAGGCATATGGGGTGTACCAATGTGTGGCCAGGTATTCTGGCGGGACGATTATCAGCAGGAAGGCACATGTTACGATGCCATGTAAGTACATTTATAACTGTGAGTTATGTCCTATGTAAAACACGAGCAAGAATGCTTTACCAGACATAAAACAGCAGGCGACAGCCGAGTGTTTTATATCTGATAAAGCCTTGACTGTGAGTGTCTTAAAATTTAAATGCCTTCAAAAACTACCCATCTTATGAGTTCATTGGTGAAGTAATTTTTTAAAAATCAACGTTGTCTAAGCCGAGAAAATCAAGGCTAAAGTTTATGTAAATGAACATGATTTTTTTATCACATATAAAACCACTGACACGGCAGTGATTTCCTTTGTCTTTTCTTTATGACTTATTAATGAGTTTTTTTAATGGTATTTATTTGTTTGATAGTTAAGTTCTATCAGTTCTAAACTGTTTGCCCTTGAGGCTCAGTAAGGATCATCTCTTATTGGCATCCAGTATTCACTACAGGAGGAAACTTGTACTAAACTAACTTTATTTATACTGGATAGCTCCATCTGTCCATCAGTTCTAAACTGTTCTTCCTAGAGCTCCAGTAAGGTCTATCCCTTATTGATCCAGTGTTACTGCAGGAGGAAACCTAAATAGTAATCTAACTTTATTTATACTAGATAGCTCTATCAATTCTAAACTAGTCCAATAAGAGTCAGGCACTGACATTTATCCCGTTCTTAACAAAAACATTTAATTTAATCTCGCAGATTTGTACAAGATAAATAATCAACCCGCAACAGATATCATTTGTAACGAAACATATCCATGTGTACTCAAACCTCATAGCGTAATCAGTTTTCCTGAACCAAGCTTCGCATGGGAATACCGTAGAAATAGCAACGAAACTTTCTCTGAGATTGAGAAACTGCATGGCGGATCAGCTATGTTTCCTGTGTCTCTTGAAGGTCATTTGTGTATTCTTGGTGTAACTCGAGGTGACCAAGGGCAGTATCGATGTAGGATTAATAATACTGCTGGAATTGTGTATGAGGTTTATAATGTTACCATAGGTAAGAAGAGATGAGTTTTATGATGGATTAATATGGGAACCTACAATCAGTGACATTGAAAGGTGGGACACTTAGATTGGAAGGTTATTGTTTTAAGCAATTGCAAAGAAATGGCACCGCGAAAGCCTACCATTTTCCAATGTTGCTGTTTGTGCTGAGAGAGTTATTAGACAGATTTAGATCGAGGACGCGGACGTCAAAGACGACGTGAAAATGGCGTGTTGTGCCCATGTATGGATATGCCACGCCATTTTGACGCCATTTTTACGTCGTCTTTGACGTCCGCGTCCTCGATCTAAATCTGTCTAATTAGTAACGTAATACAACACAAAACTACTTAAAATAAATTTTAATTTTAGTCTAACAACATTGAACGGGGGGAGGGAGATTATGTTACAATCTCAGCCTAACAGGTCCACGTATTTTGTCACTGATTGTAGGTCAAAGCTAGACCGACAGTTTGATTGAATATGACACTGCTGTGCACCAGGCTTTTACAGAATAAACACCATCATTCTTACTTCCACTATCATAATTTTCACACCATCATTATCACCACCATCAGCATCTTTACCATCACCACTATTATCATCACCACTATTATCATCACCATCATTATCATCATCATCATCACCACCATGACCATTATAGCCATCGTCATCACCACTAGCCAGTGTACAGACTCAACCCGAATTTATACATCATCATCAGCACTAACATCATTATCACAACTACTGTCATCACTATTGCCACCAATCACATCTTATCATATTATGTCATTCTTAATCTACCCTCATATAAACACCTCATTGAAACCATCTATATTTTCAGGTAGAATCAATATGTCCACCAAACAAAACAATACACTTTCTATTTTGGTCAAACCAAAAAATATTACTGTTGGCGTTTCATCATCCGCATCATTTGAC